GGTACGATTTTTCGAATTCGCTTTTGGGATAGAGCTACTACAAAATTGTCTTTTTTCTTTGGAATGCAGGAGTGTTGTTTGCCAAAAATTTAAATCACGCATTATATTTATATAAGCGTGATACATAATTTTTTTAAATCCCGCCGACTAGAGTGTCTACGGAAAGGTTTGATGAAAGCAGGATCAAGTAGCAAACATTTGTCCCTATAAGTTTATGCAGCTGTGGAGATTTTGTGGCTTATAAAATGATTGACAGAGTACGGATCAAGGAGCCAACATCGAAAAAGCTCAATAATTTTTTATATGATAATCTTGAAAGCGGACGTACAACGGCGTCAACAACATTTGACTCTGAAGTACAATGGTCGTAGCGTAACGAAGCACGAAAACCACATTTAGCCTGCTAAATCAGAGACAGATTGACAAAGGGCCTATCGATTGCAGGGGGGGGGGTGCAATACATAGCAATTTTTGGGCATCTCCAACTGCGTTTTTGTATTTTTCAAAACAACATCTTCAACTACTGTTATGTCCCTTTGCAGTCATATACATGTCTTTTTGATAATTACCAGCGTGGGAAAAGTGGAATATTTCTAAGAAGGCGGACATCGTTCAAAAAAGGCGATTTCCTTTCTCGTAACGCCCACATTTGTTGTATTAGGTTGTAGCGAAAGCTTTGTCGTTTTTTTCACATCATCATAAAAACACGCAGAATAATCGTAAGTCAACAGGTAAGACATCATTCGACGCAGATTTTCTTCCTCTTTTAGGCAGTCATAATCTTGTGCTAGTTACTTTATTGGTTACTGAAATAATCGTCAAAATTTCGAACCCATGGTTTTTAAAATGTCCAACTTTGTCAATTTTTCAAAGCCTTTATTTTGAACTTTTGAGAAAGCTTTGATAGCAGTCAAATAGCTTAAACCAGGTGCAATACATAGCAATTTTTGGGCATCTCCAACTGCGTTTTTGTATTTTTCAAAACAACTTTTCCAAAAGTCTTCTTTTTTGGGTAATTGCAAAATACACAAACGCTCCAAACACTAACAAATCTTCGGAATTTAGAACTTCCAGGAATCGATTATGATTAGACACTAATTTTTCGAAGCAATCCAGCGCTAGCCGCTCCGAAATATCAAGTTTCGCTTTTTACAGGTATTGCCTCGGATGGAATTGAAATCAAGAATAATTGAAGTTTTTTTTTGCCAAAGACTGTATGAACTGGAGAGAAAAAACGCATCCCAGAAAGAGGAGAAAAAGCTGCATAGAATGACACTTTGATTGTGCGCCATTTGCAGTTCTTTGAGTTTTTGGATGACCAAAATTGGAATTTGATAACATCAGAGAAATAATTTTAGAAATTTGGAAAAGCTACCTGTAAAGGTGGAAAAATTGCCATGCGTTGCACCTGGTTTAAGCTATTTGACTGCTATCAAAGCTTTCTCAAAAGTTCAAAATAAAGGTTTTAAAAAATTGTCAAATCTGGATATTCTAAAAACCATGGGCTCGAAATTTTGACGATTATTTCAGTAACCAATAAAGTAACTAGAACAAGAATACGACTGCCTGAAAGAGGAAGAAAATCTGCGTCAAATGATGTCTTACATGTTGGCTTACGATTATTCTGCGTGTTTTTATGATGATTTGAAAAAACGACAAAACTTTCGGGACAACCTAATATTTACGACGGTGCTGCAATGCTCTCCAGTCAGTTTCTACTTTCGAATCAAATTTATTATTGTTTCACTCTACCTAATTTTTAGCGCTTAGAGTACTGCAAAATTGCAATACACATCATGTCCAGTTTTTGTCCATTCAAATGAGCCGTTACCGCTATGTTTAGCGTGAAGGACTGCTAGAATGTCAAACTTATTAGACATTTACACTTTTAGAGCTGTTGTTCAACGCAAATAGAATAACGTAAAATATAAAAATGCAATCGTTGATGTAGTCGTTGCAAAAAGCTTCATATCCTACTGACTATTTTCTTTCCATTTGGAAATCGCCGCAGAAAATCCTGATTGATATTGATGGTAAATTTTTTGTACCCTTTTCTGTTGGCATATCCAGTTGGCATACACATAATGCCTTAAATGTTTCTTCATTGGAATTTCCATGAAGTTGCTGAATTTATCACTGTTCCAGCTCAAAGTGGCCAGGCTTAACACAGAACCTCAGTAATGAGCGTTCTCAAGAGTATTTCTCACATAATTTGGTGCTAATATGATAATACCTTGTATGTACCTTCTTACATCCATCTAAATATCATCCGTGTCATAGGGAAACGTAGATTGGTCTGAATTTCCTTTACATAAAAATGATAGAGGAGCAAATATTTCCAAATCAGTTTTAGAAAGGCATTGTGGAAAAGACAGAAGCAACAACATGTAATTCCTAATAGTCAAAGTTCTTCAAAGCTTTGGAACTGTTGCAAAATCTGAGATGAATTTTAAATGTTTTTCGCTCAATTCACTGTCAAATTTGAAGGTTCCTGCCGAATTTATGGCCAAAAGTAATTTTTAATTATGAATTAATTGTTGAATTAAAAACAGTAACAGGATTTCTTTTTTACGCAGTCAGATAGTAATAATAAAGTACTTTACATAACTTTAGAAATAAAAAGAGCAAAAAATTGTTTGGATATCTATTTTTCAATTTTATAGAGATGCGTAACGTTTTGAATCGGTATCTATGGTACGCAACTTCAGGCTAATAGTTTCCCGTTTCAGTAAAACAACTTAAAGAAGCTGACGTTGTACGGGCGGTATCAATTCCATTTCACTGGGTTTTCAACAAGTTCCGCGATTACTACAATTCTACTAATTTGTCACTTCTACAAATCCCGATCTATACAATGTGATTGAAGTTGAACATGTTTTTCTATGAAATTCCAAACTATAAGAAACAAGCTGGCAAACCCGGCTCCGCCCGGTCCTGTCAATAATGTATTCGAATCAGCATGTTCACTTACCCCCCCCCCCCCCCACCCTGCACACCCTACACACCATGCACACGCTGCAGACCGTGAACACTCTGCATACCCTGCACACCCTGCACACCCTGCACATTATAGTAATTATATAATGTGCAGGGTTGTAAATTGGTGCGGTCACGGACTACGGGTAATGTGCACAAACATACAAATTTTCTGCTTTGTATATATATGCAAGCCGCAGAAACCAGATGTGCTTAATCAGTTATGGGGCGGGGGAGGGGAGGGGGGGGGGGGGCGATGAATGTGAGTGATTTATGACATTCAAAACCAATATGTGCTTCTTGAAAGCCTGATCTTCTTTATTTTTGATTTGATTGGTTTCTGATTTTGTCTTCAAGAACCTCACTACTTACTTTTTTCATACTACAATCTTCATACTTTCTTTGATTTTTTTTGAACTATTCCTGTTGCATGAGCCTTCATTTCTGTTGTCTGATATGGATGAAGCTTATACTGTAGTGATAATGGAACAATGACTCGCATTATTGTCTACAGATTAAAAGGTGTGGACTGAAGGGAAGACTATAACCCAATCTTTGATCATTCATTGTACTGCTAACACTGCTGTTATTGCATGACATTCCCGAAATTCATGTAAATCTGAAATCCTCAAATTCAATCAAATAAGACAAATACATCTATATTAACAAAGTTTTCATGCAGAATCTAGTGCAGTTTACGTCATAGCTTCTGCGGAGAATCATGACAGATCTAACTTCATCAAGCCATATATTAAGGGCTTTAATCAAGTTACTATGCACCAAATTGCCAGCGAATCTTTATTAAATTTTGGCAAGAAGTTGATAATGAATTAGCTTATATATAACAAGGGAAGGATATCAACATTAGTAGGCGATTGAAGATGAGATGCATATCATTAGATGCGTTTAAACGCTGATTCCAAATCTGCTTTCCTTTTCTGTGAAATAAGTTTCCGAAAGATGTTGTGGGCGTTCAGATGTCCAAACTTGTCAAGTCTAGGAGGCCTAAAATTGCCAAAAAGCTGTACAAAAACAACGAAAATTGGAAAATCACTTTTGTATCGAGTATATTGTTTGCAAGGAAGGAACAAAGTTGGTGGAAATCGCATAGGTATTGTTTTAGAGCTTTTTGCTGATTTTAAGCCACTCAGTGCTTGGCAAATTTGAACATTCAAACGCTCATAACTTCTTTCGTAAACCTATTCCGCAAAAAGGGAAAGCAGATTTGGAATCAGCGTTCAAAGGCGCATATAATGGTATACATCTCATCTTTAATTGCCAACTAATGTTGGTATCCTTCCCTTGTAAGGTGGTCAGCCGCTCATTCTGTAACGAATTTGCGATTGAAAAACGGATTTTACAGAAGCAGAATGTCATAAAAATTAGCATTTAAAGTGCCCTGAAACTGAATTTATTCGAAACTAGTAGCAAGTAATAGAAAGCCCTCGGTTATAGAAAGCGTTGCTCATATTGGTTCAACTTTTTGTCGGTCTTATGCGAAGATAGTTAAATGTTACATAATGTTTTTTGAGAGAAGACGGAGTTATTTTTGGTCATCTCGATGAAACCATTTGATGCACCTGCAAAGCTTTGAATATAGGCTCTTTTAATCCAGTAGGGCAGAGTTGAGATCGAACTGGAATTTTTGCATCTATTTACAACTTACCGCAAATATTTTTTTCCTTAGTGTTTCCACCTGAAGATGGATGGGAGGCGTTCGACTCTTCAAAGGTGTGTTACGAAAGATTAAAAAGGATCAGCCAGTCATTTTTCGCTTTTCATGGCGAGCAGTTCAAGAGTATATACCTATTGAAGGCAAACCTCCTTCCATTGTTGATGTTATGTGAAATTTATTACATTTGTGGCGTCCTGGGGACGCCTTTTAAATTAAAAATCTCAAGAAAAAAAAACAACAGAGCAGCAGAATATAGACCACAAAAAACATAGTGCATACTCGGCGGATTTTCCAGAAACTTCTGAGCAATATTTCTGTATCAAAATTGGACTGCATAAATCTATCAATCGCATTACCCTTTATTTGAGAGAAAACCCGCACTTCAGCATTACGATTCATGGAAAATCCGCAGACAACAAAGAAACCCACATAGCTTCAACATAAGTATGACAAGCAATAAGGCAAATCGCAGAGAGAACCAGTAATAAATATTCTTTGATACTTTGTGGAAATAAAGCTATGGAAACAGATAAGAGTACAAGATTCGCACATGTTGATCCCTGATCGATAAGCATAAGTACAAAATATGTACAGAAAAGGTGTGAAAAACATGAAAAAAAGAAATCAACACGTGTGGGCGAGAGAAAAAACGCCGCGGTAAGGAAGCGGTAATTTGAAGAATCATTGTAACCCAACATCAAGTTCACAAACATCTATTTTTTGTTTTCAAACTGCTTTAGCCGGTCTCGAACCGAGCTCACACTCGTGATTGATATGCATTCCTTTTTCGGTGGTGGTTTTTCATTATCTTTGCTTACACGCCGAATTAATTTGTCCTTGAGCGCATCGAATGAAAAGTCTTCTCTTGGTACAAATTCTTGTTGTGTATCCTGCACAGAAGAGCTGGCAATGGTGGCTCTTTTCTTCTTCAATGTTGCTAAGTCTCTATCCGGTTTGTTTTCTCGCATTTTCACAGATGTTGCTTTGTGAAGAGTTACCGGAACTTTCTCAGGCTCAGGAATTGTTTTCGTCGTGTTTTTGTCCGGAGCAGGGGGCCGTCCTTCTTGTTTCTGGAAATTTATGTTACTTCTGGCTCTATTTTTACACCTGTATAGTCGAGCAGATTTCGCGGTGAATATACTGCGTTTATGGTGCCGAAAATATGAGGCAGAAGTTGCGCGTGAACAAATAGCTGCGTCTGTGATGTCGGTGATCTGCGCGCGCAACATTCTGGCATTACAGGCGCAGCTATTTGTTCACGCGCAAATTCTACAGCATCTTCGCGGCACGGTGAGCACACTATATTTAGCGACAAATCTACTAGACTGTATGTCCGCTCACCTTTTTAGCTTCTTCTCCGAGCGGAATTTCTTTCAGCTCTTTGGTAGTTCGGCTTAACAGTTTTTTCACACCAGGCGAAGCGCTTCTAGATCTCAATGAAACGCCGGGTTTGCTGTCACTTTTGCTTGCCGGCTCCATAGGACTCACGACAACCTAAACAATGAAAATTGCTGGAAAATTGTTAAAATCATGGAAAATTTTACCTTTTGCACAGTGGTTTTCTCTAGTGAACACTTTCCATCATTATTTCCTACCTCCAAAATCACCTTCACCTAGATTATTCGTCGACTTCATATCGTCAGAAACGTACATATTAGCTAAATTCCTACCTTTTCAGTAGCGGTCAACTCCGAAGTCTTCGTCTTTCCTTGCGAGCCAATACTTTCTTGCGCTAGCTCCTTCACCTTTCTTGACACATCCTTTGTTCCAGCCACCGAGAATTTTGTCGTCTTTCCGTCGACCTGTGAAAAAACTGTTTTTTTTTTCATCAAGTGATAATTGGCATTCTCACCTTAGACGACTCCTCAATCGTCACTTTATCAACAGCTTTGACCAAAGCGCTTCGAGCTGTCTTCAAAATTTTCGCCGTATCTTTCTTTTGTTCTTCGACCCGTTCTTTCTCGGTTGTTGATCGTAATGAATTCTCTTTCAACACATCTTGCTTCACAACTGTGACTGGAGGCTCTTTACATGTCTCGGCCTTTTTAGATGTGATCTGAAGTCGCAAAAATACACTTCGCTAGTAATCCTGGAGGCAGCCCTCAGGCAATTATCTATACCAGGATTAATGGTGTGGTAAGTGGTGGGCATTCTCAGCTAAGCAACTGCCCAAGCGGCAGCTCATTTGCTTCATTTATGCCTGAGAAATACAACTCTAAACTGTCGCCCAGACTGTAATCTCTGCGGCAAGATTGAATGATATGAGCTACCGCTGAGCAATAGTCAAAATCGCTCCCAGTCAGTATAAACATAAGTATACAGAGTACATGCTCTAATAATCTTTTTTTTTAACATTTTGCCCATAATTTTCAAAAGAAGATTTGCAGATTTTTGCGTATAATTACGTGGTTCTAACAACAAAATGTGATAGATACAAAGAAGTGAACTACTTACTGTACGTGTAGTGGCATTATCTTGCTCGACGAACTTCCTCTCTACTTCCTCGACTTTCTTTCCTGTTGATATATGTTGCACCTACAAGTTTTTCATCGAATTACCGTATTTCTTTTATGGAGCATAACTTTACCCTCTTCTCTATGCTTGCTTTCCTCGTTGTTGTGCTGGTCGACGTTGAAGTAGTAGTTGTTGTTTTGCTCTCTATTGTAATAGGTAAGAACTTTGCTTTCTTCTGCTCCTTAGTTTCTTGTCCTACTGTAACACCTGTAATATTACAGGTATATCAATCCATTTTCACATTTATCAAAGTTAGTGTCCAGTAAATACTGAGTATCTCGCAGCTAATAGCAATGAATTTATAGTCCTAAAAAGGCCATCGCACAAGAATTGAATATCCTGTTGTAGTCGAAAAAGTTGCTTTTGAACTCTTGCACAAACTGCATTTTCCAAGACTATCCTTGAGTACAATACGAGAGTACGGTCTGGGCGAGGTCGGCACTTTTTCATTCAATTATCGCTTTACAACATACTATTTTCTCAGCAAAATGTGCCGATCGGAGGTTCTTATGAGTACTTACAGCTTTCCATTTTTTTACTTGACATTACGATTTTGCAAACAAAACTTTACATGTACAGTAAGAGGGAGTTATATGCTACGAAACCAAATATACAATTTCATACGTAATTTTTTACACATTTTCGAGAATTTTTCCAACATAATACAAGACTTATGGACCAACCTAACACAACAAATTTCAGGTACCCCGTTTCAAATGCCGGCAAGAGGTATAACTTACTCTTCTTCTCTGTAGCCTCCGTCAGAGCCGGTTTCGTAGTCGCCGGTAAAACTTCTTTAGGAGTGTTAGCACCCAGCTTTGACAGTTTTTCTTGGACCAAGCTTCCTCGTTTCTTTGTGACCTTAGCATCATTTGTGCTTTCTACAGGCTTAATCGGTGTTGAGCTGGTTTCCTGGAACATTACTTAATACTCATTCAAGGACGAGATTCCGTCTTGTTAACAAACCACATTAGCTTTGGCAAGCAATGGCTTCACATCACCGGCGCTGGCTCTTTTTTGTAAGACCGTAGGTCCCAGGAAAGTCTTCTCTGGGGAAGGAAGCATAGAATCGATGAAAAGCTTCTCTGTTGGTTTCTCCTTTTTGCGCATTGCTCCCTAAAATTTTACATACATCCAAGCTATCTCATAAACCATATGTGCCATTGCACACAACATCCACATTGCGCGTGAAATCCTGGTTCTGTTGGCCACAAGAAAACACTTTTCATTGACGGGCGGGAATGAGAGTTTTTGGTGTCTTTTTTTGATTTTTGAACTTTTCAGGCAACAAAGGTAACACTGGGTGGTAATTTCCCTCTCAATTTTGATAAAATGGACAACACTACTGTATTTGATACTTAATGTGAATGTTGTCTGCAGTTGCGCGTATCTCGAGTCTATATCTGAAATTTTAGCTTTTAATATATATGAATGCTTTCAAGTATGTATTCATACTGAAATTCAGTTCTAGTAACAGCTCTAAAATTATATGAGACATGCATTGTTCATTTTTCTTGATTTTTTTCTTTTTTTCGCTCAAGTAAGCTACTATAATATTACCTGTCTTGTCGGCTTTTTCTCCTCTATCCTCTGATTTTCCTTAGTGCTGTCACCACTTTCCGAACTGCCAAAACGTTGCATTCTCATCGGAGTAGTTCTATTTTCTCCAGACGATAATGTTTGTGGTGAACCAAGTACAGTCTTCTTTGGCGGCTCTGTGATGATAGCTTCCGGGGCCGAAGACTTCCGTGACCTCAGTGAAGTCGGTTGCTCGACAGGTTTCTTCCCTGCTTTTTCTACAGATGGATCGCTAGAGTTTTTAGCGCTAAGCGTCTTCAATGGTGCTTCCTTATTGTTTAGTAATTTCTCGCTTACTGGTAGAGTGGGCAAGTTGCCAGGTCTAGCTACTTCCTTGGTGCTCCTTTCTGCCGATTTTTCACGAGTTTTTGCACCGCCGAATTTTTCGGCAATTTTTAGTGCTTCCGTAGTTTTGGCAGCATTAGGGACGCGCTCCAAGGAAGAAGGCTTCTTTTCTTGAAGGGACCTTCGTTCTAGTTTTTCAACTTTCTCCGATAACAGAAGCACTTTGTCAGTTGAAGCAGACTTCTTCAGTGGAGATTCTTGCAACTTCGCTTCTGCCTTGCTAGGAAGGTTCTTGGCTGACACCGCGGTTTTTGCAGCTCTAGGCGCAGGAATGGGCGGTGCTTCTGGGGCAGGAGTTTCTTTTCGCACTACCTTCTCAGAAGGAACAGTAATGACCACTTCCGGTATTTTCTTTGCTGGGAGCGATTTCATGTCAGACTTCGACTTTTCAGCTGCATTTTCTCCTGGGGCTGTTATTTTGAAACCAGCTTGGGCCACAGGCTGCGGAGGTTTTGCGGCTAGCTTCTCATTTTGGTCCGATTTCTTCCAACATCTTTTCTGCTTTGGAGTTTCGCTAGGAACCTGCAATTAATACTCATATTTTAACATTCAAGGTGCATGTGAAGCTAGCACTTACAGTTTGAGCTGGTGGTGCACTCTCTGGTACAGCTGGAGCGACTTCGATTTTCTTTGCCTGCAAGGATTCATGAGGAAATTGAAATTATGCTTACTACTATGTCATAGAATTTTTGAAGGAATAAGAGCTATTTGTGGGGAAAGATCAAGACAGTGCCAAAACAAACAAAAAAAGTGGTTGGCATTGCTGATTTGCAGCTCATTCGACTCACTCTCAGCAGAGTTCGGCACATCTGGCACCGAATCAAGCTGGATATCGTTTTTGGGACAAAAAAGCAAAGGGGATATCGTTTTTGTAGCCAAAAAGGCAGAAGTTGCGAGGGAGTTTTAGCCGACGTTTCGATTTTTTGACGGTTTTTACGTTGAGGAGTTAGGCTGGAAGGGGACCTCGTACGAAATCCTCAACGATCAAAGGGACTTAGGGCCGCATGCACTAACATCCCCGCGGGGAGGGGATCGCAGCTTAAAAGAAAGCTTTATATTCGAAACTTCACATACCTGGATTTCACGTTGTGTACCTATCCGTAAGTATTCCTACTACCCTTCACTATGAACATGTTGAAAAGGAGCGAGAAGCTGTACGAACCGCATTTTCCAGCTTTTGTATGATCCCTGATGATTCCCGGCGCTTTTCTTTGAAGTCATTTTTCTTTCTCCGAAGTTAACGAATAACCTCCAAAGTTGTGCAGATTACCTAACCCGACAGTGCTAAGCATGTTGCTGATAAGAACAAATGATGTTTTAAAGTCATGAGATTTTCGATGATCCACAGGTCGAAATTTGAGGTTTACCGAAAAATTCGATCTTTCAAAAACTCATTTGCTCTCATCAGCAACATGCTTAGCACCGTTGTGTTAGATGTTCAGTACAACTTTGGAAGGTTTTCGTTAACTTCGGAGAAAGAGAAATGACTTCAAAGAAAAGCGCCGGGGATCATCAGGGATCATACAAAAGCTGGAAAATATGGTTCGTACAGCTTATCGTTCCTCTTCAACATGTTCATAGTGAAGGGTAGTAGAAATACTTACGGATAGGTACACAACGTGAAATGCAGGTATTTGGAGTTTCGAAATATAAAGCTTTCCTTTAAGCTGCGATCCCCTCCCCGCGGGGATGTTAGTGCATGCGGCCCTTAGTCTTGGAATTTCCCTGGGGCCTCCCGTGCCGAGCCCTGACTCATATCAAGAATTCAACTCCACACTCCCTCTCAGATCATCTTTTCAGAACTCTTGATAGGTAATTATAAATTGTTTGCACGAAGAAAGTTTTGAGCGAAAGAATAAGAAATAATTTGACCACCTGAGTGAATCTTATGAGCTGCAACTAACAGTTACTTTGATTACAATTACAAATGCAGTAATTCACTTGGACATCATTGATCTCCTAAAAAAAGTCGCATACCTTCTTTTCGACTGGTACATCCTCCTTTTCCTTTGCTGCATTATCCGCTTTTTTCTTTTCTTCCGAAAGCGGTACACCAGCACGTTTTGTTGAGGGTTTCTTCTCTTGCTCTTCGATTGTTTCTTTACTCGTTGATGCTTCTGCATTTGTCTCCTTTTTCACCTCTACTCCCTAAAGATAAAGGTATTAGAGATAATGTCAACTTGTTTTTGATTTTCTTTGCTACTTATGCATCAGCATACCTTTCCAGGAAGCTTTTGCAAATTCACTTGATTAGTACTTGCTTTTGCAATGTTTTGTTGCGCCTGGATGTACAGGATTTCGTTCCTGCTATGCTTGTTCATAAACTCACTAATAGTTTTTCTGTCTCCGCTGCTAATAAAAGCTTTTCGAAGTATTGCTGTCCACTTCGACTCATACGGCAATTTGCTATTCTTCTTAGGCGATTCAGCTCTATGAAGATCTTCACATAGGTGATAAGACGCTGAAAAAGGTAAGTCAGCTCAAATGTCAAACGGCGCTTTCGGCACTCTTCAAATTCACTCAAACTCAAATTAGTTTAATTCTTACAACCACACCAAGACTACACTGAAGAGTATATAACACACATAGATTGTAGAAGATTCTATATCATATCTTGGCTATAAATATTGGGGTATTATAAGAGTCGACTAGACATTCCAACAAAGTAAATTTCGTCAAACTCGTTAAATTCTCGCAAATAGGCAGTCTGTTTAGAGCTGGAGCTATTGTCAACAAAAAAGCTAAAGGCTACGTGTTATTTCAAGACAAAAGAGGAGAAGATAAATGTTAACAAAAATTGAGACATAATGTCTTTTGATTCCAAAAAAGCTGTCATCAAACATGCAGAACATGCCTTTCATGTTTGGATTCTCGTTTCTTTCCACTTGCAAGCAAAAATAAAAAAATATTTGGAAAAGTCACAAGAATCCATCACATTGCATGTAGAAATTATCACAAAACAGAAACTGATTGAGACATAAAGCAAATTCCACAACTCATCAATACTCACCATGTAGGCGTAAAAGAACTGGAGAAAAATCAAATTAGTTGTAGTGATATGTGCGTAACAGAAAGAGGCCCCTTAAGAACCATGAAAAAAGAAGGGACCTCAAACTAACCCTAAACTTTCGTTTTGCATTATACCGCATCATTTGCTTCTTATCCATAGCTGGGCCCTCGGCCGGCTTTTCTAAAAGCGTATCGAGGTTGGCTTTTGCTCTGTGTTTGGCTATCCATGGATGTGCTAGACATTCTTTTGGAAGCATCCTTTTCCTAAAGTTATAAACCTTATCAAAAAAAATTGTTAGAAAAGGTCGAATGGTAAATCTCACTTTTTCTCATAAACAATCAGTCGTGACACAAAGTCCTTCGCTTCCTCACTGACTGAGTCAAACTCTTCGGTAAATTCCCATTCTCCTTTCTCGACATTACAGTATGTCTCACAGACATTTTCTCCGAGAAACGGAGAATACCCGGATAATCTAAATGGGTGCATATGCTTCAGAAATGCTCCGAACTTTGAAACATAAGCAAGATATGTATTCTCTGGGGTGGCCAAATAATTCATGAAGAATTTTATGTAAAAGATGTATGCAAAGAAAATTGGCTCAAAAATGCGCCACGTCACCCTATAAGGTTTGGTTCCTTTATTTTGCTTGACTCGGTATATTTTGAAATTGTGAGCCGTTTGAAAGAAAAATGACTAAGTTTTTTCTGTAAAGTGAAAACCGCAAAGATCAGAAAAAAAAAGCTGAATTCGAATTCTACGAATGACGCTTGTTTGCTCTATGTGTTGTGTTCTCCACAACGTAATTTTTGCAATTATCATTTTCCATAAGCAGTTTACGTCTTTTTTGCAAATGTCGAATTTCTAACGGCTTACCGTGGTTACCCTCAGACCTGCGCTTTATTTTTGGATGAGCAAAGCAATTTGATAGGGATTCTTCGATTCATTTTTCAATTTTGGGAACTTTTCTAATTTAGTTCCCTCCATTAAACGCTTCAGAATCACCGCTTAGTGATTTCAGATCCCCCCAACGCATACCAAAAATCGTGCATTCCATGCATCCTTACATAATGCAAAAATTTTAGAGAGATGAGCATGCACATTGCTAATGTTCGAATGAAGCAGAGACATAATAATGAAAAAAATCTCTGTTGCACATGATAGAATGCGAAGAATGTTTGGTATGAGCAAACCAAATAGCGCCATATTTCACATCGGCTTATTGAAAATATCGCTATTATGCACGGTCTTTAGAAGCTGAAGAACTGGGAAGTTGGAAAGAAAACTCTGGCAGAAAGCTACAAAGATGAACAGAGAATGGATGTTGGAACTTACAAAATATAAGTGATTACGCCAACGCTCCACATGTCAGTACTGTAATCGAGTTGTTCATATTTAATAACCTCCGGAGCTGCAAATTCCGGGGTTCCTGCCATGTAGCGAAGTTCCTGAATCAAATATAGAGCTGTAAATCTCTCTGGGTGTAAATTGAGGCCAAAGGTTTGGGCTTTAGAGCTGTGCTTTTTTTAGCCAGACAACAAAACCATGGAAATCATGAATTTTGAATCCATATCCTTTGCACAAACTTTTTCTCGTACCTGTGTTCCATCGTAGTATCGTGCTAAGCCGAAGTCAATCAGTTTTATTCTATTTCCGGTTTGTGACACGCACATGATATTTTCGGGCTGAAAGGTTGTACAATATCTGAGAGCAAGAAAGTGCTTCAAAAACTTAGCAATATAATCTTTAGTGATTCTCGCATTACTTCCTTTATAACGAAACCTACCTTGATGTCTAGATGTAAAATATTTTGCTCATGGATATAGTCGATTGCTTCACAGAGCTGACATATAATCATCACTACTGCTTGCTCCGTCAACACGTAATTTTCATCAGCTACCCTATCGAAGAGTTCTCCTCCTCGCACTCTGAAAAGAATTCTTTTAGAGTTTGATTCATGCAAATAGTACAGTTTTTTGTTTGCATCGGCTAGTCGTGTGCCTCTGCTAATCATGCTTTCTTGAGGCCCGTTTTTATTTCAACCGCCCAATGGAATGTGCGGATTGAGAAGTCCCTTCTAACCATCGTTGTAAGCAAAGAATTCAGTTTCGGGATACCCATCTCTGCTTCATGTCAGGTTTTGATTGCTTGGAAATTTCAAGACGTCATTAACTTGTATAGTCAGTCTCCTTCCCTCTAGGACCAATCTGTTTCAGCCCTTGTCTATGGGGTTTGGATAACAATGTGTGCAGGGCAAAGCAAGCTCCACAAGTGCCCCAAAATGTTCAAATGAATAAATCAATTAAGTGAATCGAGATCCATGTGAGTATTGGTACCAATTTGTGAGAGCAAATCATTTGATCGTATAAGAAGGAATCTTGCTACGGCTTTAGGAACACTTTATTAACCTTAGAAACACTCTATTTTCTCCCGCACATGTAATAAGGAATTCATACATACACTTGCTCTGTTTATTACATAACGAGGGATCAAGAAATGGATCAGCGAAAACTGGGGAAATACGCTCGTTGCACTTTAGGGTTCCTCCACCACGTAACCATATACAAAAAATACATCAGAAAGATTCATGTATTTTTTTCCTTGCAAAATTTTTGCCGTAGTTCCCAGGAAAAAGCAGTTCCATTCTTAACATGAAAATGAAGACCGAACATAACATTTTGAATAAATATCTACTGGAATGTTTACGCCATTAACCCTTTTCAGATTCCACGTAAATTCACCTTAGCTAGACTTGCTTCAATATTCTATTAGTGTGTAAATGTAGCTGGCTCAAAGTTCATTCATCAAACCTATTCATCTATTTAAATGTCTGTGGAGCCGAGGCTGGTGATTCATGAGGAATTTCGCTAAATAAGAGATGATTTATAAGGCCAATGCCAGGAACGCTCCATTTAAACAAACTGACGAATTTTGACATGTCACACTTGAGGATGCAAATAGCAACCACGATTTGGGCAGAATTCAATGACGTAGCACGCTTGCTCATACATCTGCTCAAAAGTGCCGTAGGAAAATGGGCTTTATGAGGAAGGAGCTGAGACTACTCACATTTCCATAACCAATACGACTTCGTTATTGGCTGTATAGAAAGCATCGTAGATTTGTGCTATACGTGGATGTCTGAGCTGTGTGAGTATCGATACCTCTCGCTCGACCTCGGCTCTGTCTGCTTGCTGAAATTTGTGTGATTAGTGAGGGTTGAGGCTTAAAAACTAGTGTGAAATATCCGTGACAATCCTAGCAGCCTGACCTGTTTCAATCGAATCACTTTCGCTGCAAATTCTGCACCCGTTGCTCTTTCGCGCACTTGATACACTTTCCCGAATTTTCCACTGAAATTCGTGAGCAATAAAGAGATCTTCGCGAAACAAAAAGCTTAGTGATGAAATTTCAGATGTGCAGATCTCAGACAATTTTTAACGCTATTGTATTTACAGTTATGTCGTAATTTAGGTAATGGTTTGCTAGGCAAGATATGGAAAAAGTCAAGCAAAATTAAGGCTGATTTATGAAGAAGATGTTTTGCAAAAGCGTTTTTTCTTCGCTGTTAATCTGTTAGTATAAACATTGGGAAGCGAGGATGTAGAAGTATCATTATTTTTTATAATATAACGAACTTTGGAAAAAATCCCAGTCTAGCGAATCAGATTTGTATGTCTAAATCTCATTTAGTTTTTGTCACAGAATCCTTTCTCTAGTGTCGAGTGTGCTATGCTCTGAAAGACTTTTGCAAAACAGAATTTGATATCGTTTCGATTCTCTTAGACTTGTGACACTCTTCTTTGAAAGGTGTTTTGGGAAAAAGAGAAAGTGAAGACTTATTTTCGAGCAGTAGAAACTGCGCACACGTATGGTTGTTGACATTTTCTTGGGATAAATATTGCTAACAATAACTTCAAATAACATTCTACAACCAGCATTGTGAGCATTGTAAGTTCTAGTTTAGTAGAATTGTCTCATAAAGCGAATCGAACTGATATTTCCGTCAATTCCAGAGCACATCGACTTTTGTAGAAAAAAACAAGAGTACACTCGAACAAACGTTCATTGTTAACAATATTCGAAGCAAACTTCTTAACTCCCAAAAGAACGAAAGTTCAACTCTAAACAAGGAAATTTATCCGTACATTTACAGCGTCAGCTCAGTATACTAGCTGAAAAGAATGAAGCATGAACTCACTCTCCTATAAGCTTGCTCCTTTCGTAGCATTGCTCAAATTTAACATTTGAACGAATGCTTTCGATTTTATCAAATATAGGCTCATCTACTGCTGAAAAAAAAACATGAATAAAGTACCTCATTCAACCACGCAAAAGAATCTAACCTGTGGGATAGTGTTCGTCAACTAGGATCTTACCCACTGTGCCCATAAAATCACTCTGCAAATGGAGTTTTGGGTTTTGAACTTTCAATGCAAAGCAAGAACGATACATTGCGATTTTATTTCACAAGAATAAAGATATGCTTGACTGAAGACTTATGAGTTTTGGCATACGTGCCGTGGCTTGAGAGAAGCTTGAGCCTGAAGAAGGGCGAAAATGTGTTTAGGAACGAGTCGAAAATTTCAGGAAGATGTTGACAATGAAGACAGCCTTTCCTTCATTCCGAAAATGACGAGACAAACGGAAATGTTTTCCAAAATATTAACTTTCCGGGTCACATTCCACATTTGTGGATGATTCAGCATTCAAAAAAAGTGTCTGATTCAGATGTCTGCAAAATGGTAACCAAACAAGCTCCTGCTATGTACTTAATGGATTTCCATGATCTGATTTATTTTGTTTCAAGATAAATAGTCAGATGAACGTACTTCGGAAAAAATACTGCACAACGAAAAATCAAAGTAAAATTTGAAGGTTGTCTGCAGTTTCTTGATGATGCTATTTCAGCTTTAAAAAAAATCACTCTAATATAATTAATTTACAGGTAATGCACAATGAGCAGTTTCGCAATTTGGTTGGCTAAAACTGTTCTGAGTTATCGTAAAATGTTGTAGGTATGTGAGAAAATGTCAGAAAACTCGAATACTGCAAGAATTCTAAAGGGTTCTGAGAGGCATATGCAAAGCGTGATCAGCCACTTCATCTATGAAATTGAAAACAGAAAAAATTATTATATTGTATGCGTTATTTATGCAAAGTAGTCAAGAACTAAAAGTGATAAGTTTCAAACAGAAAGTCACGACGGACCGCATTGCATTTGGTGAATTTCAAAACTTTCTCAATAAAGCTTTTTCTAGCGTCTTTTTTTCGTTTTTTTTTACCATCAATCCACGCATTTTATAAGGTTAGCAGTTACTGCACTTTCGTAATCCCAAAAATATCTCAACCCGTGGAAAACAATGTTTATTGACCTTGTGACCTAAATGTGGTACTTTAAGATTGAAGTGGGCTGTTGTCAGCTGTTAGTTTTCTGCGATCCGTGGCAGCCGATGACGTCATAGACGGCGCTATAGAACACAAATCAGTGCAGATGCTTTTGATAAATTGAACAAGTTTTCTGAAGAGAAAAAATGAACTATGGAAGGGTGGTGCAAGAGTAGACGCGTGGGAGAAAAAAATTGTAGCTGTTTCACAATAAAAAGTTGTTATTTGGAGCAGGGCACGGTCAAAAGCAGAGTCCATACAAATTTGGGTTGGTTTTGAGCTGGAACCGAGGAAAAGCAGCTTATTCGTAACCAGTAATCAGTGCAACAATTTCTAAGCACACCAATGAGCGTCCTCGAGTACGGTAGTGGGCGAGAGTTAAGATTAGGACTGCCCGGTCATGAGTGTATCTCGTGATCTGCTTCGGCAGTCCCAGTCAAACACTCAAATCATTATCCTCATAAGAAGTCCAGCTAAACGAATTCGTCTAGACTGTGTTTAATTTACAGTAAAAGGTCTGCAGGCTCCTAATAACTCTGGAATTTTAGATATGCTACGGCTTCTCGGAATGATTGTGCTGCTCTGCGCTCAAAGATGACGAGGGGGCGAGAATTCTATAACAACCATTCATAAGAAAAATCCATTAGGAGTGTATCAGAATCCATTAAAACCCGTATATTGAAAAGGAAAATTGATGATGGAAATGACGTAAGGAGAAGAGAATCGTAAGTGTAGTTATGGTATTCGGTCTATGTTAGCTTTGCTAGAAATGAAATAATCTCATGAACTGCACTAGTACTACAGGTATGCTGCAATTACCTCGAAAATACCAACAGTAGCGTGCCGAGGGGGGGGGGGGGAGAGAAAAGGGTGAGGCAAAGTGGCGAAAATTTGAGGCGTTTAAGATGAGTTATTGAGCCAAGCAAGTAAGTACATGATTGTTACTTGCAATTTTTTTTCGTAAAGAAAAAAATTCTGGAGCACTTGAAAATTCCGAAACTGCTCAAGAATTTTCTTTTTCCACATTCTAGTAAAAAAAACTCCTGCCCCCTCTTCTCCCATTTTTCTGCGAGCATCAAATCAATCTAACTATTGATGATGAAGTTAGGTTGCTTAGAGAGTTGTGATAAAAAAGATAATAGCAGCCAATACCACTGACAGTTTTTGCCCGGCTGCTATTTTTGTCACATTTACGAAAGTGTAAATGGAATCAAAAAATTTTACAAAGCTCTGTGCACGCATCCTAAGATATCAAAAAAAGATGAAAAGAAATCACACTTCTTTTTTCAACCGGAAAACCGTCGAACGTGCTGCAAAAGCAAATTTAGATAAGAAGCTAGAATGAAATGCATTTTTTATAAGTGTGATTCGGGTAGGGGACATTAGGTCGCCGAAAGGGATGTTTTGGGCGGACATTTGCAACAAACCGCGCGTCTTCACCATTACTGCTTCATGCTAGCTGTCCGCGTGGGCGGAGCTTATCCGCGACCTTATGTCCTCTATCCCATAACTTCTCATGGAGTTTGAGCGAAACATTGTTTTTACATGATCCAGCTAAGCCAAAATACTGGAGAGAAGACACTTCAGAAAAAGAGGTTGAAGATAGAAAATGATGTGAGAGCTGCGAATAAATGAGCCGAGGTGATTAGAGGTACAAATTTGATAGAAACTTTCTAGAATTATTTGATATGCCATCTAGCAAAAGAAACCAGCAGTTCTTATGCTTACCAGGAGAGAACAGATATGATTACTTTGAGAAAAGAAGTAGTCAATCAATGTACCTCAAAGTGCGGGTCTCGACTCATCAGCACGAGTTCCAACTCGTGGCGATTTACAGCGGATGATCAAAAAACAAGAAAAGCGCCGTCGCCACGCAAATCGGCGGAGCATTTGTGCATGCAAAGCATTTCTTCTCTGGCGTGCTTCAGTTACACGAACAAAGCGAGTCATAATATAATCACAGCTAGTGATTAATTCAAAATATGCAGAGAGGAGAAGAAATCGAAGAGAGAAAGCCCGAGGAGAATGTCGTTCTTTGAAGACGGAACTATGCGATTTATCGAGTGTAGCTATGTCAAAGAATGTGACTCTGAACGATGTTGATCGCAGTACACCAGCTGCCACCTGTCGTCCGCCTAATTTCAGTACCCCGACGGAAATGCTGACGTCACACATCAGCAGAGCAGATACATCAAGCTAGACGTCAAGTGACGCCCTCTGACATTCGGCATCATCGGCATCGATCCGACACACAAATTCGATGAGTACATTCTTTGCTTATAAATAGATTCAGTAGGAGGAACTGTGGCCAACAAGAATGACTGCAGTGTTGCGTATTCTGAAACACAATAAGTTACGTTTTCTGTCGCGTAGGTGTAACTTCTTTCGCAAAGCAGGAAAATTTCAAACCAGCTTGACAGGTGGACCTCGTAATAATGGCAGTACCGTAACCTGCCAGAGGGCGCGTGTGAGAATTAAAATTCTTAAAACTATACAGTGGCTTTTTAGATGCAGTGATCTGCATCCGAAAAACCTCAAATAGACATTGATGAACCAAATTGCCTACTCCAACAGCTAAAACTTGAGTATTAACTCGTTGCGAAATTATTTAGCTTCACAAGCGTCACAATCCGCGGGAAAGAAACTTACAAAAGGTAGATAGCATTCAATGCAGTTTTCAGGCTCCTGCGAATATATTATATTTGTTACAAATATATATTAAGGTGATCGGTAAAAAATGGGCAGCTTGATTTTATTGAATTTTGAGATTTTTTGTTTCGATCAACAATAAACAGGTTGCAACGTAAACGTCGCTTATATAAGCGACTTTCGCCTATTATTCTGGCAAAGCGTCAACGCTCCTCTCCCACAACCATACGCGTGGCGCCCTGAAGAACTCGAACAAGGTTTTTTGAACATCGCTCATTCTTGCGCTGCCATGCCGTAAAGTTATAGAGCAATTGATATACTATTCGAAAGAGCTCTTCTTGCTGTTTTAAACAATATATTAAACATACAGGATTTCTTTCTATTTCTGGGTAAAAAAAGCGAAATACCTGAAAAATCGCGATTTTTTGACGCAACAAAAACCAATAAATCAAGTTTCAATCTGTATCTTCCGAAGATAGATAAAATCTGAGGTAAGCTGCATACGGATGGATAGAGCGTAAAAAGCTCTTTCATATGGTACTTATAGAACTTGCGTTCACCTGAAAAGCATTGAATAGCACGTATCTTTGTTCTCAAAGCTGCTAATGGCCATATCTCCTGAATTTGAAAGTCGAGGCCAGCAATCCATCGTGGGTCTGGTGACTGCACCTTCACGCAATGCAGCAGTAGTACCTTGATGGTTTCGCATGTTTCACGGCGCAGATACCACTAGAAAAATTATTACGTATGTGAATGACCTTATATGGGTATTTTCTGAAAGAGAATAATTTATTCTAACATCTATCAAAATTGCAAAGTTTAATCACTATTCTTTTTTAAAAAATCTACATTTATTCTCTAGGTGCCCCATTTTTTACCGATCACCCCAATATATTTGTTACATATTTATTGCAGCTTAAGATGGATCCTCAAAAAATACCGAAAACTAAGGCCCATAGTTTTTTACATGGTCAGTGCTACTTTCCTGAATTTTTTTATGCTGACTCCCTGAAGAAGTTCAAATAGCTGATCCAGAGCACACCCTACGAATACAGAACAATTTTCTTCATTCTCTCATATCTCGAAGAAAGGAATCTTCATCAAAACAACGGATTTTAGCAGGTATGTTTCAAACACAAATGCATCGAACACCAATAACTCTCTCAAATCAAAAACCTCCAAAATTGGATTTAATCGAGCACTAACTTTGCAAAGCGAATAAGGTTTAACGATTCCAAATATCAAATCTCGAAATCTTCGCCTACAGTATGGGGCTTTGAAAGCATAAATTTGCTGATCTCATCCGGAAAGCCTTACGGATCCAAAACAGAAAACAACTTTCAGAAAGGAGAGAAAATGCTACAATGTATGAAACTCGGATTGCTCGAAGCTTGATGTCTGTAAAGTTTCTAGTTGAT